TTCCTCCGAAATCGGCACACTTCTCAGGCGGCGGTTTGAGCGTACACTCCTCCAGGTGAGCGGACGTTCCTCCGGTTTTGAGCGTACATTCCTCCGAAATCGGCGCACTTCTCAGGCGGCGGTTTGAGCGTACACTCCTCCAGGTGAGCGGACGTTCCTCCGGTTTTGAGCGTACATTCCTCCGAAATCGGCGCACTTCTCAGGCGGCGGTTTGAGCGTACAGTCCTCCAGGTGAGTCGGACGTTCCTCCGGTTTTGAGCGTACATTCCTCCGAAATCGGCACACTTCAGTCGGCGGTTTGAGCGTACAGTCCTCCAGGTGAGCGGGCGTTCCTCCGGTTTTAAGCGTACATTCCTCCGAAATCGGCACACTTCTCAGGCGGCAGTTTGAGCCTCAAGGTGAGCGGACGTTCCTCCGGTTTTGAGCGTACATTCCTCCGAAATCGGCACAATTCAGTCGGCGGTTTGAGCGTACAGTCCTCCAGGTGAGCGGACGTTCCTCCGGTTTTGAGCGTACATTCCTCCGAAATCGGCACACTTCTCAGGCGGCGGTTTGAGCGTACACTCCTCCAGGTGAGCGGACGTTCCTCCGGTTTTGTGCGTACATTCCTCCGAAATCGGCACACTTCTCACGGCGGCGGTTTGAGCGTACAGTCTTCCAGGTGAGCGGACGTTCCTCCGGTTTTGAGCGTACATTCCTCCGAAATCGGCACACTTCAGTCGGCGGTTTGAGCGTACTGCCGTACACTCCTCCAGGTGAGCGGACGTTCCTCCGGTTGAAAGCTTGGGAACTTATCTATTCTATAAGTATAGAGGGAAGCCCTCTCACTTCTATATAATGTGCAATCAACTACAAATAATAATAATGTATTATGGGGGGCGACAACCTCCAGGAGGGCGTGTATTTTTTCACCTATTAAAAATTCATACAACACAAAGTGGTAATAACGCACTCAAGTAAAAAGGACTTATATTTCAACACTACCACTTTCAAATAAAACAATGGAGTTAAAAGACTCTTTTCTTGCTCCACGATAAAACATAGCTCATTTCAAAATAAAATCCAATATAAATGAAATACAAAGGATCATAAATATCAAAGACATTGTTGTAAATATGTAACACAAATTGCTGACGTGACACAAATTGACGTGACAGGTATGACGATCTCGACGATATCGTCCTTTGTTGCGCCTGACATATTGAGGGCACAGTGGTACTGTAATTCCTGATTTTTTCACTGTACTGTTCACTGTTTTCACTGTCACTGTTTTCACTGTACAGTGAACTTATATATACTACAGTTAACAAATAATTCCTGGAATTCGTTTTTCCTGCACCTGTCGCCACTGTGAATATGTAGTTCTGCGAACACGTCCATTTCTCTCAGACTGTGAAATTTTGCTACCGTGAACATAAAGTGAATTACAGTATTGTATACTTTCAATAAATGTTGCTCCCTCGCTTGTGCCGTGCCAAATAACCTCACTGTATAGTCTAGACATGGACGTACTTGTATGTATGATGAGGGTCTACCGAGTATGGAGGACCTGGCAACGGTTAACGGTAAATTCAGCGGGGTCGAGAAGTAAATTCAGTAGTCGGTAGGTAACGCTTAACGGTGACTTGACGTGCATTTGACGAGCGTTCTGAATTTGTGAGAAAAAAGTGATCATTGCCAATGTGTTGTTTACGCACTAGTACACCTCGAAATGAAGTGCGCATCACACTAGCGTCCCTGCCCTTATACATGTTATAGTGCGTCCACAACGTTTGAAGGTGTCTTTGAGGGGGGGGGTCGCGATGTAGGGGGTCCGGGGACATGCTCCCCTAGGAAATTTTGTATCTTTAAGCCTTCAACGACGCATTTTGAGAGGCAAAATAGGACAGCATCGGTACAGAAGGGAGACCAATTTAGAACAAGGTCACTAGCGTTCAGCTTTAGCCTGAATGTCAGCCTTTTACAATGTAGCTTTCGTCCGCTCCCCACTATCCGCAACTAGCCTCTACCAGGCTTCGGGAGAGCACAGTTTGCCGCATCCGAAGCCTGTGCGGCAAACTGTACTCTCTAGCGGACCAACCCCACTGGCATGTTATCTCTCTGTTTGGCCGATTTCTACTCTTTCCAGCCGCCTCCCGAAGCCTTGTAGAGGCTAGGGAAATGGATACAAATTTGATACTGTCTTTCCCCCCACCGAAAGATCTGCTTGGAGATTATGTATGGGGTGTACATTTCAGGCAAGAAAAATCACATGTTTACATACAATGCAATACAAAACAATACAGCACATTTCTTCAATGTAATCTTGAGTTAACATGTTGTACTGTTGCATTTTCATCTCAGGAGCCGCCTAACTAACAATGAACTCCGACGGTAAAGTCACTCTCCAAACTATCAAAGACGCTGCCGGCAGATTGTCTGGTCATGTGATTGAGACCCCGGTGCAAACCTGTGAAGACCTGGACTTGTTGGCGGGAAAAAGACTTTTCTTTAAATGTGAAAATTTTCAAAAGTCGGGTTCCTTTAAGGTATGTCTGTTTTACGGACAATCTTGTCAAGGGGTGCCCCCATGGAGCAATATATAATAGTTAGCGTACATGTCCTTCTACTAGTAGTATAGCAGCAACATATAACTTTTAAGTTAAAAGCATTGTAACGTCATAACCGTCATGTGGATTGCTTGAACCTGGAAGCGTCAAAGTTAGTACTAATCTCATCTACATACCGAATTATATAATAAGCAAATCGTGTGGCGCAGAGGCAGCGTTCTCAACTCGGAACCAGAGGCCCCGGGTTCGAGTCCTGACATGCCACCGATCTTGTGCCCTTGGGAAAGGCACTTTACACGACTTTGCTCACTTTGCTCAGGTGTAAATGAGTATTGTACTGTCCCTGTGTTGGTGTCGGCATTAATATAAGTTGGAAAAACTTGAGTGTGTCGTCACCAAGTCTTGTGATTAGATGTTTCAGAATAAATAAAAATTAAAAAAATCGAAATTAATCTAACAACTTGCAGATTTAACCGTCATGATAAATGCTACATGAAGAGGAGTCCATAAGCTTCTCCCTGAAACGTCTGACCCTTTTCAAAATCAATCCAGTTGCTTGAATAACTGTTATCTTCAATGTCATTACCATTGCCCTGTAGTTCCGCGGAGCATTCAACGCTGTTTCCAGATTGGTCCGTTCAAACCAACCAGCGTCCAATCAACGTCCAGTACAAGTGGTGGGTTCCAGCACCGGGAACTACGGCTGCGGATTGGCCCTAGCCGCTCATCTCCACGGAGTTACTGCTCATGTGGTTATGCAAAACGACGCTGCAGAGTGCAAGAAAGAAAAAGTGCTATCGTACGGAGCTAATTTGACACTGCGTGACAAACGAAAGGTCAGGACTGAATGAGCGATGTTAATAACAAACAAAGGATGATCGACACACGTATAATATCCTTGCTCACAGTACTCAGTGAGTAATCGTTTGCAAGTTTGCAACTGAATATTTTTTACTCCGTGAAGGAGGTATCCCTCCTGTAGGAGTATTGTGGTCAATCGTTGTTTTTTTTTTGTTTTTGTTTTTTTTTTTGCGTTCGCAGCTAAAACACACGGTTCCCTTTGTTTAATCGGAATGTGATTTTATACGTCGTCAGAAGCACGGTACCCCTGCATTCAAAAGGCATTTGGGGCTGGCCGCAAAAAAAGCGTTGTTTTGAATAGCGGGGGGGGGGTGTTTTTCTCAGGCAGATACTTTGCCCCTTTCTCATAATAAAGATGTTTTTTTCTCCAGGATTTTGGCGAAACTATTAAACAGGTGCAGGATGCAACAGGAGCGGTCTTCATATCCGGCAGTCAACATCCTGACGTCATATCCGGACAGGGAACTATGGGATTGGAACTTCTTCAACAGGTAAAGTCATCTGTGGTGTCATAATTTTAGATTTTTGCCTCAACTACAAGGTTTTTCAAGCTTGTATCGATAGTTTTCATGTCATGTCATGTTGTCATGTTGAACCTTTTTACGCCAGGTAAAGTCATCTGTGGTGACATAATTTTAGATTTTTGCCTCAACTACAAGGTTTTTCAAGCTTGTATCGATAGTTTTCATGTCATGTCATGTTGAACCTTTTTACGCCAAAACGGTTACTCAAGCAACTGGATGATGACTTTGGATACTTGAGCAACTTGGCTTGAGTAACTGTTTTTTGGCGTATCTTAATTTCTGGATGTTTAACTTTCACCGACGTTGGCCCTTTTTTTTATTTTCCAGGTGTCAGACTTGGATGCTGTCGTAATGCCGGTGGGAGGAGGGGGCATGCTGACAGGAGTGGCAATGGTTATCAAGGTATTTCTCATAGTTGCTTTTGTATATAATATATAATGTATTGATTGTAAAATTGCTCTCCGTTCCACTTGTACATATGTGCAGATTTCTAATAAGCAAATAAACAAAGTAGCTAAAATGTCTCTTTACCATCATGTGATTTTGTAGCTTTGGTTATTCATTCCATTTATTTAGCACTTAAAAATTATTGTCTTGTGATCAGATGTGATTTTGTCCCGTCCCAGTCCCTCTGTCCCGAGGTGCGTGTGTACGGAGCGGAACCGGAGGTTGCAAACCAAGCGGCACGGTCTCTCCAGAGCGGTTCCCGGTTCGTCTTCCCACAGTACCCGCGGAGCATAGCTGACGGAGTCATCGTCGGTATCGGGGAAGTGACGTGGCCGTACATCAAGGACAATGTGGACGACATCTTCACTGTTTCAGAGGATGAGATAAAGGTACATTTCAGATCATTTCTGTCGCAAAGTACTGTCATGATTACAGCAATACTATTTTGGAATGCTAGTCGGCGCTTTGGACCTTGGCGTACCGATGCTGATATCAAAGTGCAGTAAAGTACTGTGTATTGTACTGTACTTGAAGTTAAACTTGAACAGGGACTTCATAGGATGTCAACATGAGAGACAATTATCTTCTTCTTCTCCATTTGTCCCTGTCGTGCATCAGTGATCGGAGTTCTGCTGCGGTGATGTTTCTGAGCCCAGCATCCCACTTCAGGTTGTCAATGAAGGTTCTGCTTCTGTACTACTGTACTACTGTACTACTGTACTACTGTACTACTGTACTACTGTACTACTGTACTACTGTACTACTGTACTACTGTACTACTGTACTATTGTACTACTGTACTACTACTGTACTACTGTACTACTGTACTACTGTACTGTACTGTAAAAGTTGAACTTTGTTCACGGTTGCAGAATGCCGTGCGCCTGGTGTGGGAGAGGATGAAGCTTGTGGTGGAGCCGTCAGGTGCAGTGGGCGTGGCCGCCGTTTTGAGTGACAGCTTCAAGGCACGAGCGGGAGGGTGCGGGAACGTCGCCGTCATCCTGTCAGGCGGGAACGTGGATCTACAGAAAATACCCGATCTGCGGAATTGAATTTGTCTTTGACCTGAACACAGACACACAGACACACACACACGCACACGCACGCTCATATACATGAACACAAACATACATACATACACACCAACGTACATACCCACTCGTTCACAAGCAACACGTGTAACGACGCCCTCTTGCGGAATTCATAGGTGAATTTATAGGTTGATGATATTCTCTTCAGTATTCTTTGAAAGCGAGTGTTAGATTTCATTCGCAAAAGCCTCCCTAAAGACTGATGTCCTAGATATGAACCATTAAAGGAAAGATTAGAAATTGGCCAAAAAGGATAACATAACAGGGGAGTCGGTCCGCTAGAGAGTACATTCGGGAGCGGCAAAATGCACTCTCTAGCCAACTCCCCTGGTATGTTATCTTTCTGACCACTTTCTACTCCATCCAGCCGCTTCCCGGAGCCTGGTAGAGGCTACACAATGATACACGTGGTAGAGAATATTGCAAATAAGGTAGAGCTGGGTACCCTATTTTACCTGTCGAGTATCTTTTGTACCCTTCGCAATTCCTTGTGGAGACGACGAAATAGACTTGGCACCTAAGATAGATTTAGACACAAGGCTAAGAGCCTGGGGTCTTCATGATCCTTCATGTACCCCAAATGTACGTCTAACGGTCGAACTGACGTATATTCATTTGGTCTGGATTATGGATAGATATTCTCCACCGTTTCTAGGACCTGGTCCCAGAAGGCTTCAGTCACAGCTGTGTTCAACTTCTCTTCTCTAACCAGTTATTATACACATCATTAACTGTATACATATATTAAAATAGCAATCATTAACTGTATACATACATTAACATATCAATGTTTCTTCTTTTGTTTAAAGGGGCATATTTCTCTTCATTTGCTACAATGAAAGTGACGAAATTCGAATTAAAGTTAAATACGTTTTCTTCTTCTTCTGTGCTTCTATGCGTGTGTGTTTCTCAGTTTTATTATACGAGCTACGATAAGATTAATAGAAGTCGACACTAACTCACCATTTGGAGAAACTTAGAAATTGTTTTTTTTTTTTTTACTTTTGCTCTAATGTATATTTCTGTTCATTGATAACGATTATGAAATTGCCATGCTCACTGTTTCAGTCTCTCCCTTTGGTGCTTGTATTATCAAATAAGTACATATTCTATCAAGGTATATCGTGGCCATAAACCTTTATCACATAAAAACATATGTAAGAACGAAGCCATATAACTAACATCAATAGCAGAGGGCCTCGTTAAATCGTGCAGGGTGGAAGTTTGGAACGTTAGGCAACAGCAAGTAATTTTTATGGGTGACATCAACGCGCGCATTAATTTTCGCCTCATTTTGGAAAAAAAAAAAACACAAGAAATTTTGTTGCCCTCTGAACATGCCAAAAATGGGCAAAGATTTCTGTTGCCATGCCGGAACGTGGATGGCAGATGAATATGAAGAGAGAAGGCATGACAAGGTTCTTGTTTAAGGCTATGACGTCAAAATTTGAAAATGTAGGAATCATGTTTTTTTTGGGCCGCCTTGTTTTTTTTTGCCCTCTCGCATTAAATTTGGAGTCTGCGTAGGATGTCATCCATAAAATTTACTTGCTGTGGCCTTGCGAAGCGTTCCGGGCGGTTTTATGAGGCGCGAAGATTTAGGATGTGGAATGGGAGATTGGAGAGGCGAAAATGGCGGGTTTTACGATGGACGTGACCGGGGGTAACCCCTGGTGGTGGATGAATCAGAATCAGAATGGAAGTGTCAGTGGTACGGCTGGGGCTGGTATATTTACCTATGACAAGTATATTTTCTCTGCTATATTAGATACTAAATTGCCACTTAAAAGGTTGTTACTCCATGCAAAAGAGGTGGTCGTATTTCACGTATTTATAGAAAAAACGCGGTAGATTTACCTATGACAAGTATATTTTCTCTGCTATATCTTAGATACTAAATTGCCACTTAAAAGGTTGTTACTCCATGCAAAAGAGCCACGGTGGTCGCATTTCACGTATTTATAGAAAAAAACGCGGCTTCTTGTCTAAAAATATCAAAATAACCGAAAGTATCTGTATCTGTATAGCCGGTATAACCGCCCTTAGGTGTGACACACCAGCTAAGTATCTCCACTTTACCTAGATGTTTAAAGGCTAGATATTCATTTGTGTGGTTGATGAATTCGCCTGAGTAAACAATAAACTGAAACAATAAACTGAAGCAGTAAACTGTATCTGTACCTTTAGACTTACATTTTATGACCAATTTTATATTGTAAACTTGTATTATTTCGTGCCACTGCTACTCAATTCTGTATGTTCGACCGTGGGGAAATGATATATACTTTATAACGTCCCGTTGATTGGCTGTTTATGTTCTGTATCGTAACGCTTTTAAATTCCGCTGATTCGCCACAAATTACAGCATAGTTAGCCAAGTCTGGAACCGTGTTTATAGGGCGGGATGTTTTATCAAGTGACAATTCATTGTTATACTTTTAATGGATAATTTATATATTCTATAATAGGATCGCCGCAACTAAAAAATGCATTTGCTCAAGAAAAAGAAATTCCTCCACAAAAATAATTTTTCTTTATAACTAGAAATGTAACATTTTCAAAGCATATGGCATGCTCTGTTAATTCTTACTCACTCACAATCATATGGTCAGACAGGAGTCTAAATCCATCCTGATATAAAAGTGCAACATGATGTAACCCAACACTAGTTACCATGGTAATAGACAATCTAGTTCAGGTCATTGAGATCACTTTTTGGAGAAGAAGAAGAAGAGGAAACGTAGCAAAAACAATATGTTTTCCTTCGGTAATCACAAGAACCTCTTTGTTTTGACGTAATCTACGATATACGAGTACATGTATAAACTTGTTTTACTTTGGGAACTTCCTGAAGTGTTTTCGATGAATCGGCACTTTTTGTCTCGTTAATGACAACTGCTCGCAAGCATGAATCGATCTCACAGTAAACTTGACCATGGATTGAAGTTGACGAACGTGAAGATTTTATCCTGACCTTGTGTCTGTGCCCGCGGCCAAACGCGTCCGCCAACGTCATGAAATTTAATAATGGGGATTTTAGATATGGGTTTATCTTCTTTGCGTTTGTGGCCGCAGGTATAGAACCCAAACACATGCTGTGAGGGCTTGATTTTGTAGGATATTTTCTCTAGTTCTGACTTTGCACTTTCGTAATATCGTTTTCTAGTTTTATCTCAATATTTGTTATTCGGGGCATGATTGAATTAAATGAAAAAGCTGCGACAAGCTCAAATGCTTCTCCGTACAATTAAAACCATCCCAGTCTGATTCAACTACGATATAGACCATGAAAAACGCACAGTAATGCTGTAATCATGGAGTTAGAAAATCTGATTTTCTAACTCCATGCTTTAATACACATCCAGGCTAACCCTAGCGACCCCATGTATTGAATGTATTATGTAAGAACCCCCGGAGTGGCGTACAAGAAATGTTTAATTCATCAGACGGCGCACTTTTGTTTGGTGGGTCCGTTGGTGACCACCTGCCCAAAGCGTGCTGGTTCGGCAGCAGACAATAGGCCGAACACGTCTTCTGCAAACACGACAAGCGTACGACTGGCAGCCGAACCTGCACACTTCTATACCAACAAAGTACGACATACCAACGTATTCCAGACGCCAAATCGTGTAGTTTTGGTCACTGTCATCGTTTCAAGAAGCCATTCAACACAACAAAAATAGGTACGTTGCCTTTCTACTGATGATATTGTGTGTACGTGCACGTAAGATTTCTATCACAAGTTTTCCCCGTTCGTTGGTTAGCACATGCTAAATCGTAAAGTATACTTTGTTGACAAGTGACGGCTGTTTCAGATGTTATTCTTGTACAGGCAATATACGGACAAGATACGTATACGTGAATATTTTATTTATCCGTATCAGCCAACGGTTTTACCCAAGCCATCTGTTTTATTTATTCCTTGTTGTCGGCTACCTTCTTTTTCTCCATATGGTCTACCACTCTCACGCGGTTGCAGAATAGAGGAAAAAGTGTTTTTGTCACGTTTTTAATGCTCGTTAAAGAATACATTGTCAGTGACCCACAAACGAAGACATATCTGAATATGTGGTAGACCACATATTTATCCAAACCGATATACTAGTATTTATGTTATTCTGTATACGGTTTCAAACGTATACAGTCTCGTATACTTCATTTGTTTCGCGATACCACAAGATAAGTCCTGTCAATAGCATTCATTTTTAATGTTAGTTTTTTAACAATCACAGGATGTTATTTCTTGTACATTTTGTTGTTATTCTTGAAGCAATGGATTTATGGCGCATTTCTCACCGTTTATTCAAAATCTAGGATACAGATATTTGCATGAAAATGATGTTTTTCCTTTTTCCATTGTTGCTGATCTCTCCAAAGCCTGAATGATCCACACTCACAGAACAAAGGATGTCATTAAGCAAACCTCGCGGGAGAGGGAATTAGCCGGTATCTTGTTAAAACAGGGTGGGAAGAATTAATCGTACTGTCAAACTTACTATAAAACTCTCTTTATTCCCCATATAAAGAGAAGAAAAATGACTTGATTTATTCGATACGAGTTTATGTTTCTATGCTTTAGTAGGTTAAAGGAAATTATATTGGAATAGTCAGTTCCTATTACCTTTATGTATATCCATAGATAAACTGGATATTAGAATTGGACCTCAGGTGTCAGATGTACAATATCTTTTCCCCTTATAATCGTTCGTTTGATTTGATTTCTAATAGGTTGTGACACAAGTAGTGAAGTACTTTCGCATGCTATTATAACGTGATTCTAATGGTTTATTTCTCCATTTACAGTTGCATAGAGCAAGGAGATTATATATGTATATCCATATATAATGTCCTTGTATATTTGTACCCTCCTTTTCTGTTATCAGAAGTATCGCTTGTTTTATTATATTTAGGTATTTTTGAAAGAAGAAAATTAGTTTTTTCTTTATCAAAGTGCCCCATGT